GCGCACCCACTTTCTGTCACTCTCCCTGACAAACACGCTCACGCTCTCACCCTCGTTCTAATTTCCCCCGTGTCTCTGCAGTGAGCTCACTGCAGTGCGACTCCCCCCCCCCCAACCCGCTCCTCGCCACCCTACGTATAATAGAATATCGATCGCTTGCCTTTGCCGCAGTGTGTAAGCGAGTGCTCCTGTGGACGAGTGTGTGTCTGACTGGGGCCCTCCAAGGTCATCGCTATGGCAACCTGAGCATGGGGTCCTTTCGCTGTGCTGTCACAGAGCACAGGGTCACAGGGGTCACGTGAAAAGGGGGACAAGAGGGGGTTGGTGAGCGCTGCGGTGTTTGGTATACTGGAGGCAGAGGAGAGGAGCCACAAGGGCTGGAAGTGCCCTATTCCGCTGTGTATTTAGACTGGAGCAGAATAATGAGAACATGTACAGACCTAAGTGTTGCCGAGGGACACCGAGTTCACTACAACTCCTGCTATGCATGCACAAACAAAAGTCAACTGTAGTAGCAACTTTAGAGGAAATAAATATGACTTAATTTGACACTGAATTAAAAAAAAGAAAGCGAGTATTGGATAAGCTGGCCTTAAGGGTTTATTGCACTGAGAAAATATAGATACAAAACACTCAACTTTTATCAGAATGTAAACGAACGATAAATTTCAATAAAATATTTTACATTTATGTGACGTTACACCTCAAAGTTCCAAGCTAAACATGTATACATGCTAACAAGGAAATTATAAACCCGATGTAAAATACCATGATTAAGTACTGACCTTTAAAGATGTGTCATCATCAAGCCATCTATATAAGCCTATCTGAATGACAAAACCTGCATTTCTATAATAATAATAATAATAATAATAATAATAACAATAATGATAATATGTGTTTGTGCATTAGCATTAGATACAGTTTTAAAGCTTTAAATTGCACTTTCCTTTGGAAACAATCACAAATTCTCTTTAGAAGTGTAAAGATTACATTTATACATATTATTCAAATCAGAGAGAATGTATTAGCCCAAATATCTACAGCAGAGAGCACAGCACAGATAGCCTATTAAGATATAAGCTGAGAAATATTGCAAGGAATGAAAGACTATTTTACACAAATCAGAGGCATCCAAGGTTTGAAATGAACATAGAAAGGCATATAATCTGCATTAATGTGTGGTTAGATTTTATGTTCAGAAATCCATTTTTGTGTTCTATGGCAATTTATGTGCTTAAATGAGCTTCAAAAAGCTGTCAGTAACATGACAAGGTACATTCTTGATACCATGGTAAGGGGTTAAAACACAGGGAATTTAACAAGCTAAGGAACATATATATGAACAGCTCTTCCTGTGTGCAAACATATTTGCAGGGTCAACATGATGACTGATAGCCAACCGGCGCCTGCTGATAGTTTAGCCTGGTCTTTATACGGGCTCCATGAGGAGCTCTTCTATGTCCGATCCCTCCAGCTCACGGAACGCAGCATGAGAGCCAATCACAAACAGCGTTGCTCCTGGGAAGATGAATTATAGCAGTATAAAATGGATGTGAAGAGAAAGTAACAAAGAAGAAGGTTTTTCTTACAAATGCGTGAACAAGATTTAGGGTCCACTATTAGAGAAATGTTAGCATTGCAGACAGCAGTGGAATATGTTCAATTATATTTCCAAAATCAGAAAAACACAATAAAAAAAAATTTAAACAAAGATTCCAAAGAGTAACACAGAACAAGTATAATGTGGTTTGGTTTACCAAGAACCCAAAACACGGCAGCGCCAGCTCCGGCCAACCAGAACGCAGGCAGAGAAATGGCTCCAGCCAGGCTCATCTGGTGAGGTGTGGTCAGCTCTTTGCCTGGTTCACATTAAAATTGAAGGTTTGAGAACACAAATTATGACAGCAATTAAAGATTCCATAAAAATGAAGACGTTTTATTTTCTCAAACTAAAATCTTACATAAATTTAGCTTATTCTTCACTAAACTGATATCTTTTGTGGTTTAGTTACATTACTGTTACTGAGAACTGTAATAGTAGAGAACAATAATTTGCGGGAATAGGTTGCTTCATTAACCCATTGATTTAATTTCTATACACAACAATTTAAAGGAGGTAATAAATTAATAAATAGATGAATAAAGATATACAACTTAAAGTTTGATGTTTAATTATTCAAGCTAGGTTTATCTTAAAGTAGCTGCTCAAAAAAACATTTATATTATTTGCCGGTGATTCAACAAGCAGGTATTTATGTGAAGGTGTCCGAGTTATTTGAGACACTTTTACTCACCGAGCACAACCAGTTTAGACTCCAAAGATTTGATGTGAATGATGTAAAAGGCACCAGCAAACACAGCCAAGGCGATCAGTAGCATGGGCGAGCTGATGCTGAAGAGAGGAAACATCAACAGTCCAATCGTTTATTACAGTGTATCAGCTGAAAATTTCATTTCATTTCTTTCTTTTTTTACTACTGCTTCCCTTTTTCTCGTTTCTAATTGGCCTAACCAGATTTATGAGCTCCGAACAAAGTCGTGTTTTGGGCTTACATGCAGTAGAGGATAAGCCCCAAGAAGATGAAGGTGTAGTTGCTGTTGTAAATTTCCACATTTTTCACCACCCTCTTGCACAAGTCTCCAAAGTTGCGGGGTTTTGAAAACTTGCGCTGGTCTACAAAACTGGCCCAAGGTCGAATGGACAATCGGCGCTTGTCGAACCACTCTTTAGCCATGCTAGCTGAGATGCCTTTGGGAAGCCAGAGCCTACGAAATAAGATGAAGACATTAAGAACCAGAAACATTAAGAGGAGTTATGACATGTGCAAAATTTATATTATCACTTGGTGGCTCATTAAGCTTACAAACATTAGCAGCAGGTATAACAGATGCAGAAGCACATGTCAGCTCTATTGTGTGATAAATCTGAGATAGACAAACACATTTAAACTCATACTTTGCCAGGATTCCTGTGCCTCCTGTGCCTGTGGGATGAGCATCCTCAGCTGTGAACAGATCTCCTGCCTTGCTGTCCATGTCCACTTGACAGTTCTCCCCCTTTGGCACTGCAGATGGCATGTACACAGTCTGCTGTCAGACAACTGCAAGGAAGAAAACACAGAATGTAAATACCAGTTGTAAAACATTTCCATCACTAATTCTCAAGTCCCTCTACAAGCAAATCTCACCAATGGATAGAAATGTTGAAATGCTACAGTTATTTTAATTCTAGGCAGTTAGGCAGTTATTTTTGATTCATTATCAAATTTAAATTTTCATCAAAATGCAAAAACTTCCAAGATTCAAAAAGACAAAAGATAAAAAAACAAAACAAACAAACACTACAATCAAACTGACTTGGTCTCACGATAAGGTTGAAAGAAAAAAAAAAAGAAGAAGAAAAGCGTTCTTCCCCTACACAACAACACTGGTGGATGAAGTAAGACTCATATAGGTTTAAAGTTGACTCTGACTCATATTCTTGCTGCCAATGCCTTTTATTTTTTGTTATTCCTGAGCAGCTCATTAAAAAAAGTATTTTAAGCTTGACTATAATGAACCTCAATTAGCAAACCAGATTAAATTTATTTCAGGGGTGCCAATTTGTTTTTATATACACACAAAAAATCCTGCTATGCAATTTTACACATACTTATGATGTTGACTCCCAATAGCCGTTTATATTTAGCAACATAAGTTGTTTTAAACCATCATATTATAACACCAAAATCTGGGCATGAAACTCAGTAGAAGTAAGACAGAATACATGTGACTGAAAGTGAGGCAGACGTAACAGTGAAGCTGGAAAGAGTGGAGGCTCAGGGTCATGGATGTGGAGGATATAATCAGCGAGATAGAGGAAATCTGATCTGCTGTGGTTACCCCTAAAGAGAACAGTCAAAAGGAGAAGAAGGGCACCATTCTGGCACCACTTAATTGATTCCCTCTCTTTGTTTATATCCAGATAAATGGCTAACTAAAGTATTTATAAACAGGTCAGCCAGTGTAGAATGAAGTTCGTGACCAACACCAGTTTTTATATTCCTGCATTTCTCAATCCTGTCGTTCCCAGAGGTTGAAGAAACAACATTCAAAAGACTTAGCTTAGCAACAGTAGGCAGAGGAAAATGTTCGTCAGCGAAAGGGCTTGGTCAATGCCACATCATTAAACAACGCCCGGATATTCGACAACATTTCCAGGGAATAATCACTTATTTTATTTTTAATTTGTCAAGTATCCTAACTGAATGGCATTTCTAAACCCCGGTATGTAGTCCATCATAGCTCCCAGTTGTTCTTAATAACTCTTGGTTGTTCAAATACTGTCGCAGCTAGCTTCTCTGCTAATAACCACTCTAGTCAAAGCGGATTTATGATTTTATCGTAGCCCAACTTTACACACCTAATTAAAATGAACTGAAATAAAAATGAACAATATCAACCGCCAAATTTACAATGGTTTAATTACATATACTCACAGCAGCAGATGAGTTTAATGGGACTGCCTCAGACCTTTTGTTGCTGTTTTAGTTTACGGATATGATGTGGCTCTTATTTGCCTTCCTTGTTGTTGTTCCTAGCTGCCTTGGTTCCAAACACCGCCACCTACTGACAGCATCCAGCAGTTTTCCCTCTGCTATGCTTGGGTGTAGCCTGCTGCAGTACATATATTCTTGTGCTTATATGCTTATGGACACTACGCTGCAAAGCTCGCTTAAAGTACTGATTTGTTTTTTGTTTTGTTTTGTTTTTTTGTTTTTTTTCATGTCAAAGCTAAGACAACAAAAGTAAAATGAAAAAAAAACAGAGGGGGAGGGAGCGCCCTTGAATCAGCTGTCTTTACTGACTTGATCAATACAATAAAGTGGCTGTTTATGAAAAACTGTCTTCAGATCAGTTCAAAGAAGACTAGCAGATCAGCGAGAGCAAAAACGTGACTGGGCGTCGCCGTGGAAGTCAGGGGGCTGCGATTGGTCAATTCCTCAGCGTTGACGTAGTGCAGAACTGCACGCTGCTGTGGAAGTTACTAGATCATTCAACCCACCCGGAGGTGAGTCGCCCCTAGTTACTTTGGGTTTCTTGATTATTATCTCGTTAAAATGCTTTGAATATTAATCTACTGGTGCTTTTTTTCACGCTCTCATGTATGTGACCCAATGCTCGTCGATACTACAGTCAATTTATAGCTGAAGTAAGCTAACGTTAGTAGCTAGCAAGCGATATCCATTTCTGTTCTTTGTATTTATCGGTAATGCATACAGAGGGAAAAAAAATTTATATATGTGTGTTTTAATCCTATAGTTACTGTTATATGTTTCAGTGCGTATATAGAAATGTAGCACACCTGTTAATTTCAGGTTTGTTATTTGGCTAAACCGCTGTTTGCATTGCAGTTCCTGATGTTTGTTATGCTTTTTCCACAGACAAACGTGACTGGTTACGTAACTTGTCAAAGGGGAAAATTTTGCTCCACTGGTTGTTACTGGGCGTCTGAAGAACGGCTACTATCTTTGGCTTCCAACTGGTTAGTGTATGTTTCTGAACGTGAATGGAAATAAAGTGGTTATAAGGGGGTTCTCCGTTACGCGTTTAAAAACTGTTTCGAGCTGAGGGTGAAAATGGTGAAAATGGCAAGGACTGCTGAGCTAGCTGATGCAGCCATATAATGGTAGAGACTAGAGAACGGGCGTAACGCTGCAGTATTACGCCAACATGATCATTGACTGTGTTACATGGCACAAACGCCTTGCTATGTTTTATAGATAAATACAGTTTAGTGGTTAATGCAGTTTATATGTAGCTACACGGGATTTGTTGGAGCGGCGTTTTATAGCTTAAACAGCGACACAGATGACATTGTTTAGTGTATGTAATGCAATTAAAAGTAGGAGTATAGAACATGGAAGGAACTCGAGGTCAAGCCT